AACCCTGTTGTCAAAGACTGTTCATGTAAGTATGGGCCTCCTGCATGGTAGGATAAAGAAATATGATTTTTTTTAAAAGAGCACTGGTTAATATCTGACTGCTCTTCAGGAGGAGAAGGAGCGTAGCTGCATGTTTGCTGATGAGCTGGCCAAGATGGAGGTGAAATTTAAGGAACAACTGAAGATGAATGAGAACATGAAACTGCAGTTGGCATCAGAGGAAGATCGCTGCAAGGTCAGTCGAGACACTAAGCACTGCGGTCAGGCCATTTGCTGCAAGTGATGCTCTGCTGCTGCTTTCAAATCAGGTCTGTCTTTGGACACTTACTGCGCTTTTACTGCTGGGTATGGCTGGTTTAGCTCTGGGATGGAGCCTTTGATGCTATCTCTCCCCTTGAACAGAGCCTCTCTGACAGTGTTGTTTATGAGCAGGCCTATCTGTGAGAGGACATTTTACTGCTGTTTATTTCAAACTCTGGAGACAAGCGAAGTTTGGCTCTGAGGAGCCATCTCCAGTTGCCTGGCTAATGCTGTGCTTGGCACAGGTCAGGCGGATATTTGCTTAGTGTCTCGGAGGAATTCAAACAGGTTGTTTTGCTTTGACCGGTATTGTGCATAAATCAGTCCTCAGCAAAGGGAAGCTTTTTATGGCTGTGATCAATTAAATGTCACGCACTGGGGTCTGGGCTTATTTTGATCGTGCGGTTTTCAATCAAAAATGCCTCTTGTGTTTTTGTGTCTTTTTGTTTACTTCAGAGCCAGGTAGCTGAGAAGGGACGGGAGCTGAAGGAGCTGAAGGACACACTAGCACTTGTTGTGAAGGAGAAGGAAAAAGTGGAGGGGGTTAGTGACAGCTTTCATTTTCTCTTTTATAGACTTCTTCCACTCTAAAAATTCCTTGAAAACTGCCGTTCCCCTGCCATTTTCCCTCTCCCAATCTGGTTTGTGTTTAATACGCCTCTAATTGTAGTAGCAAAGTAAATGAGTTCTTATTTTCCATTCCATTACTTTGGACCACAGCAAGGTCCTCACTGACCTACAATATTGCTTCGAGGTAATGCTGTTACAGCTAAGAGGAGCAGGATGACCCAATTTGAGGTTTAGACTGTAAACTAAATTGGTGTCTGCAACTAACATCAATAAAACACAGCCTTCCAATCCCTTTGAAAATGAGAAGAGTTTCTTTTTTAATGAAGGCACAAAGTTAACTGTTTGTGTGAGTAAGAACTCATAGCTCAGGAGCTGACGTGTGATTTTATGCAGTGATGTGTTGCTTGCCTTGAAAGACAGGCAGGCATAGAGATGTGTAACTCCACAGAAAACATTATTAAACTAAAATAATAATACTTCTGCTGCTTCCTGCCTAGGAGCTCCAGAAGGGCGGCGGCGGCAGCAGCAGCAGCAGCAGCAGGAAGGGAGATCAGGGCAGCAGTGAGAAAACCAGTTTGGAGAGTGTCCAGTCCAGTGTGCCTTTATTCCTGCAGTACCCTGTCCCTTACACCCAGGATGCCCCCACCCCCCTGCTGGTCTCTCAGAGCCCCAGCAAGCTGCATTTTGGGAACCCTTACTCCATCTCAGACTCAAAAGGTTGGTTTCCTTTTCAGAAAGATTCACAAACCTTTGTTTAAAATTCTCCAGTAATAACGAACTTGTATTTACAGAAGCTGCGTCTCTGTATTCTCTCCCTGCAGATGAGGGAGATGAGGAGTTTTCAGATGGCCACCTGCTTAGGCTGCCCCCTGTGGGCCCACCCTCCTGGGACAGTAATGTGGTGTGTATCCAACCCACCCGCAACCACAGCCGGCCAGAAGGCCACGAGGAGTCAGAGGAAAAGCAAACCAACAACAACAATGTAAGCTCAGACTGTGGCGTCAGTATTCTCTCCCATGTGCAGAATGCAGTTAAATACTGATGATTGATTTCTTTTTTTTTTTTCCCTCAGTGTTAAGTATTCACAAATGATCATAATTCACAATTTTCTCTTTCTCAGGGAAATACCAACAAACAGCCCACAGCAACGGAAACTCACAGCCCATTTGTGAGTGATGGACAAACTGCCTTCTGCTTTGATCCCAGGTAACACACCCTCACATGCTGCACCCTACATTTTCTAAACCTGTGCATTGTAACATGTGTAAAGTGTTTGTTCTGCTGCACAACCCCCTTTTGTTGGTATTAGTCATGCAGCAGGCCACCCACGTCGCATCAGACAGATGCTCTTTATTAGCCAGCGCTCCTGGTTTGCCCACATCATCACTCGACTGCTTATTAACGTGAGCTTTCTCTCCCTGTCTTTCTCTTCTCCTGTGTGCAGCATGGACATGAAGCGATGTCCGCTGTGTGAGGTCATCTTCCCCCCCAACTATGACCAGAGCAAGTTTGAGGAGCATGTGGAGAGCCACTGGAAAATCTGCCCCATGTGCAGCGAGCAGTTCCCGCTGGACTGCGACCAGAAGGTGTTTGAGAATCACGTGCTCACCCACTTCGACGGCCACCCGCTCAACTTCGACTAGAAAAACAGAAAATCAGCACATCCGGTCTGCCTACTTCCTGTGGCCACTGAAATAAATCACTCTGCACTCTTCTCTGCATGTAATGGTGTGAAGATCCACTCTTTAGGACTGTACTGACTTTCGCTTTGTTACTTCAACTTAGATAAACACTTTGAAGTGATGTGACATTTTGAAATGACATTGTAATTCAGTGTATATGGCAGTGCTACTGAATTAACATTTTCTTTTATAGGTAAAAGGTTTCCCTTCATTTGGATTTGAAGAATAATTTAGGGGGATATGACTGTTGTTCGTATATATGCTGACTTTAAATTGACTCGCACAGATCTGTCAGACTACAGGATGTAACGAATCAGGGAAAGAGATAAGTGTTTACCAAACCTACATTTAAAACATCCAACCAACTGATTCCCCCTTAAACATCACTGTACAAGTCATTTACTCATTCTTTATAGAAAGCAGCCTTGGTGCACAATATGCAGTCAGGGAGAACTCTTCAGTGATTACATTTAGACATAATACAGTATATCCTCAGATCATCTATTTTAGAATAATTAAAGCCAATGGTATCGTGAAGGCATTGATACTTTGTGTGTGATATATATGATGTATTGATTTGTTTTATGTTAGGTTTCCTTCGTTTTGATTCTGAATGTTATGGGTGTTTGTGTCGGATCCTTCATATCATCAGCTAATCAGTGCATGCTGAGCTTATGTTAAACTTCCTTCTTTTGTTCGCCTCTTTTACAGTAATAACTTATTTTGTTCATAAACATATTTCATTTGTTAAGTGAGTCTCATGTATCTAATAAGAACTAATAAAGTCTGTTTGAATCTGAATCGTGTCCACACAGTTAATGACACAGAAATCTTTAGGCACACATCAGAGGAATCTTTATTCTAAATGTAACAAAAGTTTACATGAAGCAGCTTTTTGAAGAAATACAGCACATCACCATTATTTCTCCCAACAACCTCTGGTGTTGCCTTTTCATACACAATATGAAAATATAATTTAATGCACTTTAACACGTAACAATACATTCACTGTACACTATATCAAAGACTTTCCTCCATACTGGCAGTACAATACTGTCACCATTCTCAAATGGACCGTAGCTCATTGACACTGACGTCCATGCAGTGAAGATGCTAGCCAATGGCTCAAAGTTGATAAATCCACAATCTTGTTGCAGTTAATGATCTGCGGTTCATTACTTCAAGGATTAAATGGCGCTCTACATACCCTCAACTGACTTTATATTGACTTAATATTTGTATGGCACACAATAGAAACTGCATGTTTTTCCTCTCACAGCCCAACATAAATGTGCTAAATACATGGCTAGCTGCCGCCCAAACTTGACTCTATCCGTGACGAACACAATCGCATCGTTTCATAAGACCGGTAGTCGGTGAACAGCGAACAGTTTGGGCTGAGCTGTCTGTGTAATGTCTGCATTCAGCTGAATTTGTCTGAACGGTCAAAATAAAGCCATACAAAGATCTGTACTGATTGGAATGGTTTACAATTCAAGGCAACTACTGTACATACAGAAATCTCACAATACTGGAAACACTGGAGGTTTGGTATACATCATCCCTTGGAGTAATGTAGAACTTGCAAACTTCTGGTCTGAAGGCCTTTTGCCTCGTTTCGGTAGCTACTGTACATACACCAGAAACGAGATATTGGCAAAAAAAAAAATGCTAATTTGTTGGCAACTTGTTATAAAAAGTGCTTCAATCCTTTACTGTAAAAACAGCAAGGAAAACTGCATAACTGCATGAACGGTAACATCAGGCAACGATGACACACAGTCCGTTCCCATGATCCCACTGGACAGCAGAAATACTATCAGACCACTTGGGCAGGATTGTGGTGCTGAAATGCTTGCAAACGTCACCTGAGATCAGCCTTTGGCGCTCACACACAAGTGTTTGCAGTAGAAACAGAGGTTTGGAACGTGTGATATGAACGGAAAAGTTGAACAACTGATTATTAACACTAAATCTGATAAGAGAATGAAACATGTTACATCACACACATTCTGATTGTTTTCATTTCATTGCCTCTGTCACATCAGGTTCAAATGAGACAGAGGCAATGTAACGGTGCCTGCTTTCTCTAGAAGAGAAAACACCCAAATCTTTCCTGTTTCCTCTGACGTCACACCGCCTTATAAGCAGCTCACTGTACATGCAAGGCTACTCGTGACGTGGTGTGGCCGTTCTTTAGACCACAACAAGCCACATCATCAACGAGTACAATATGTCAAAAAAAAAAAAAAAAAAAAAAAAAAAGAGTCAAATAGATAAATGATAGCTTAAATGTGCAAAAATACAAAACTGTGAACTACATAAAAATTCAACATTCCGAATAAAAGTTAAGGATGAATAATAACACATTTATACCATGCAATCAAACCATAGTGTCAGAGCAAAGTGGGATAGGAGAGAGAGAAGGGGGGGGGGGGGGGTTGTAGGGGGGGGAATGAGAAAAAGCCAATGCTGGTGATGGTGGTGTTCAGATGGTTGGGGATGTGGCCTGAGGGAGAGTGCTGGTCGCTCACTCGGTCTCTACTGCTGCATCTTGCGGATGATGTCAGTAGAGATGGGTGGGTGAAAGTTGATGGTGTGGTGGCGGAGACCCTGAGACGTTTTGTAGCTCTTCCCACACCGGCACTTGAAGGGTTTGCGCACCCTAATCTGGGTTCGGTGGCCGTTCTTGGCATGATACTTGATCCCGTTCACATTCTGTAATGAAGCAAAGAACACAAAACTCAATCATGACTAAACATATAACTACACTGATAACTCATCATGTACAACGGGGCTTCCCACAGTTAGATCGTGCACATTCTGTATAATAACAGTGGCTGCTCGCTGACAGTAGACTACAGAGAGAGGAAATAAAATGTCTTGTTCTGCCCCTAAACAGATGCCTAATGCTGCCTGCTGCCTCAGACTAAGTTATCGCCTATAACCCTGTCATTCACGTCAACGATGCAATTTTCTCAAGCTGCACATAATTTATCCCAACCGCACACACCAGATGTGAATGGAAAACCCCGTAAAACTCCACATCACTGAAGTGGACTAGATGTATGCATCTATTTTGACATGTTGAAGCGCTCATACAAGAACTGATTTTCCATCGTCAACAGCAGGGAATCCATTTTGATTTTACACGAGCAGATAAAATCCTCATATCTCACACAATGCAATGCAAATATCTCTCTCTGGTGACGGTGAAAATATTTCACATCGCTACCTTATGTTTCATCTGTCATGTGAGGAGATGCTGAGTGAAACCTACCTTGTATCTCTTTTTACAGCCTGGCACGGGGCAAGCGAAAGGCTTCTCGTCTCCTCCGTTCATGCACATAGAACTGAGGATGGACTCGGAGCTGATGGCGCTCTCTGTGGTCCACGACTCATCACTGTCAGACTCCTCAAAGTCTACCTCCTCCTCATCACATTCACTACCTGTGGGAGGGTAAAGGACAGAAAGTCTAACAGTAATTGACTCAGGGCATCACGACCCGGGCATGCGATCATACAAACACACAAAGAAATGTTTTCCAAGGAGCTCTGATTTGTACATGTTTCATGACTAATCTGCGACGATGACATCCTGGCCTTTGAGACTTCAGACTGGGCCGTTCTCAACATGTGCTTCGGGGCAGTGTTCCCGTGATCTCTCCGTCATGTGTTACAGAACTACAAAGTTTTCGTGGGAAAGAATGTATGTATTTGATTGAGCTCTTGCGGTCAGAAATAGTTTTATCAATGAATTAAAGATGTTATGCCTAAAAGAAGCTAAATAACCACAAGAGTTAAAAACAAGACAGATCATTAAAGCCTGCATTCTTTACAAAGCAAGTACATGAGTACATGGGAAAACATTAGAAGGGAAAGAACTAAAACATGTTTCTGTTATGTATTGTTTTGTGGATGTGACTAATTAGCTGGACTATGAAAGCTGCCCCTCTGTGTAGCTTGAATGTGAGTGTTATTAAAATTGTATCTCCTAAGCTCTCATGCTAATGCTATTATTTACAGGATAATTAATTTATACAGTACCAAACTTTCAGCCTGCATTGGAGTCATAGCTGCTGAGTTCATCCAATAAATAATGAAAAACACTGAGTTTCAACCAATAATTTCACAGTAAAACATCACACAAGCAACACCTAATCATATCATTTCAGTTGTAGTTAGTCGTCGCAACTGAGAATTTATATTGAAGCATATAATTATAAACGTGGAGCTGAAGAGAACAGTCACTCTTCGCCTCATTGCCCTGCTGCATAATGTGGGTGGGTGGGAGCACTGTCTAAGCTGATTTAGATTTACTTTAGCAGGGTGCATGCTTGCCTTCACGGTGTCTTGAAAACGGACCTCCTGGTTGAATGCCAGTCTCCTTAACTGCTACACCACTCTGCTCTGCTGCTTGCTTAATACACAATGCATAACACGTAGCAGTCACTACATTCTGGACATCTAAGTGGAGAGCCGAGTGTGTTAACGATGGTTATGTACCTGTAGGCGTACTGCTGCGGAAGGAAGAGGAAGGGGTGATGGGTGGGGTGACTGGAGGGGTGAGGTTTCCACTGGTGTGGCGAGGCGGAGTGGAAACACTGCTGCGGGACAGACTGCCTGTCAGAGACAAAGACAACTTGGGCTGCACCTTCTTCTTCAGAGTCTCATTTTCTCGCCGCGCAGCATCTGTCATGAACCTGGGGCATTGTGGGATATAAGACAATCAGGGTTTGCAATCTTTCTCAGGAAAAAGGTCATCTCATCCAATGAGCTGTGACTGTGATGACTGCCTGATGTTTACAAAGTTCAGATATTGAAGGTTTGCTACTATGTTTGGAAAAAAAAACCCCATATAATTGGCTCTATTCCCATCAAAAAAAACCTTACACACGGGTTTATGATGGATAGTAAAGTCTTTGGTAAATGCGTATCATAAAAATGAAATGTTAACATCGACATTGTTAAAGAAAGTGGAATTAACAAATTAAGTGATAACCACATCAAGATGTGTTTGTGAAGGCATGGAGACAGCGGCAGACCTTCTCGTACACTGGATTGTTGCATAAGGCTTTTAAAACTACTAAAGCACCATATCAAAGAAGACTGGGATGAACCTCGAGCAATAAAAAAACAAAAAAAAACAGCTTCCAAATACTGAAGCAATTCATCTAAGCAATCCACCAGATGACATTTGAAAATACTGGTAGGACCTCATAGGACACAGTAGTAATACTGATGTAGATAAACCTTTACAGGGCCAAAGACTAATAGCATCCATGTAAAACGATGTCAGATCCATAAAGTAGATGTACTTATATTTGAGTTACTGCACGAATAAGTGGAAATCTAGCTGTTTTCTTTCTTGTAGTTCATACATTTCTTTACCTGTTGATGTAGCTGAGGGCAACATATGTCGGCTGCTGCTGCTCCTGCTTCTCCAGAAGCCGGGGGTCTGTGTCTGAGTAGGCAAGAGAGAGATAGAGAGAGTGGATACATCTAGTCATATAAGGCGATATTGAGACAAGCAGTGTGCTTGATTTTTGTTTGTTTTTTTATGTTGTAGCTTTCTGTTTTTCTCCGTATATGGCACTGCAGTCTTTGCTTCATTGGGTGTACTACCTTGCCCAGGCACAGATGAAAGGTGCAGGGATGGAGTACATTAAATTGACTCGAATGATTTTTAAAAAGGGTCCAATTACAATCCAGATTTGAGTTTTAATGTTAAAACTGGCCCGGTCAACATGGAAACATATTGACACAGTGGATGTATAATCAGTGGTCAGGTAGATTTACAGAAAATAGACAGAAACAAGACTCCACCATGGATTTGAGTGAAACATTTCCAAACCTCTTACATCGCTATCTGCAAAAATTGAACTTTTCAGTACTACTGAACTTCTGTGCACTTCTGTGAACTTATGTGCGATGCAACTGAGCTTTTGCTCTCTGTGCTACCTTAAACAAAAACCTACATCAGTCAGTGCACTTAGTACCAGCCTTCAGCTGAACTGGGTGAGTCCCAGGTATGAATGTAAGGAGCGAGGTTGTGAAAGAGCATGCATACTCAGCTGACTCGACAAATAAAGGCTAATAAAAAAAACTATTTCTAGAAAATAATGAAAATGCAGGATATAGTGCAATCAATGTGCAGTACAATTAGTTTCAATGTGATGTCATGCACCACTGTCTAGACTGCAGTCACTGGTTAGTTAAGTATTGCTGGAGAAGAGCCACAGTTTCCAAGCTGATGCTGGTTTCCTCTAGATCTACTGTACATACACTTTTTTTCTATTAGTTGAATTAATCGCACTTTCTGATCTTTACTGCATAATTAGGCTCATCTCAAGCGCCTTGTCTTTTGAATTTCCATGGCACTTTTTGAAAGGCTGCTCTGCCGACACCACATTGCTCATACATGACCACACTTGACACATACTGCGTTTTGCCATGCTGTGCTCCAGACATTCATCTTGCTCAGCAGTGCTAAATGTACAACAATAGCCAATCTCCACACCCTGAGGTGAAGCGGGTCTGACTTCAAACGCTCTTCCCACTGCCGTCCATGTGGGAGAAGAGAGATGCCCCATAAAACAACAGTGTCTACCACTTACCAGCTGAGCCTCCCTGTCTGCCTCTGACAGAGCTGTGAAAGACTGCTACCCCATGTGGTTAAATCGAGTGCTTGTTTCCATCCACAAGCTCATTTATACGCAACACTTACACCTAAGGCTATTTGTAACATGAAAATTTCAGATGATGCTTTTGTAAGGCACAATGACTACAGCTTTAAAATAATCTGTATATTCAGCAAGCAGAAAAAAACAAAAAGCCACGCCAGTCCTATAGTTGATATGATTTTAAAATGCCTATGGCAATGACAGAAAACATGAGAAAATAGTGCAATTAAAGTTGTCTTGGTTAAAGGGATAAGCAACACCTTATTAAGCCTGTAATAAAACCCTGAGTCATACTCAATTATTACTTCCTCAGTGTTTTACGCTTTTCCTCCTTTTTGTTTGTTTGTTTGTGAACAAAACACCTAAAACAGATTTCAATGAAATGTCTAGTGGACACACACAAAGACCTTGTGCCGAAGAAGAGCTGATTAGACTTTGGTGGTGCTCTCTGATATGGGATTTCACCAGTAGATGATTATCTATTTCTCTCTGTATCAATTATAAATAACTCAAGTATTGGAAATTTGCATTAAATGCAAGGTCATATTGAGTCTTGTGTACTTGTGATTTAATCACACATTTACATAAATAAAACAGGAAACTTTTAGACTGTATCAAGTCAGCGACTGGCATTAAAATTGGAGAATGTTCATAGATGGACAGACGTGAATTAGAAATGAGATATTTGTTGATGTTTTGTGCATTCTTACTTTTAGTTCTAATATTTTACAAAATAGTCACTGTGATTGTTCATTTCTTGCCTGGTCATCACTCAAACTGAGCTCTCCGAACTGTTTTTATGTGAATTCAACTTCTCTTTGGGTGGAGCTAATCATAAACACTCATTTTGTCATCTAGAAGCTATAATGAGACATCTATGTACGCAGACAAAAGATAAAACGGTTTGTAAGAATGCCAACGTGCTGTATAAATTTAAAGTAGACACACACACATGCACACAATCATCTATAAAAGGAAACACACAGCGCAGACTCCACTCTCTATTGCAACAGTGTAAACTACTGGCTTAATTCTGTCACAAACAAGGTGAAAGTTGACATTGACCAGTGGAACTCAACCCAAACCACATTTAAGTATAAATGAGGAAGCTTACATTTTAGAGGTCTAGCAGGAATCTAAGTCCACAAACCAATGTCCGTCTTACTGAAAAGTAGACATGGGCGATGAAAGACGCATGGCATCATCCACTCAGTGGTTACGACCAAGCCGCTCGGTTGACGATGAAATAGTTTTATGATACTGGCAGGTAGGCTCTAAGAACAGCTTAAACCTCAGCGCCCTACGGCTCAGGAGGGTTCTCTCAAGGCCTCAGTCGTAAGCAAGTGTTTCATTAAGTGGATTTATCCCCAATGAGAAGGACAGCACACCTCTCTCTACTCTGCAGCCAAAGCCATGGAAACACAGAGTAGCAAAGAGACATTCATAACGGCACTATTCCCCTGCCAAAAGCCAGAGGCAGTGCAGAGACTATTCTGAGCGCTGTGTGTTGGTATGCGTGCGCGTGAGTGCACAAGAAATCCCTCCTAAGATCCCTAATGAGACTCAAGGAGTGGAATGGCAGCCTGCTCACGGTCTGCTCAAACAGCAGTGGATCAATCTGTTCCCACACACTGTAAATCACGCACACCTCAGGTGGGGACCGGGGCGAGGGAGGCCTGCAGGGGCCAGTTCCCCCACAGCCTCTGCTGTTCTTTTGGGGGCCCACCAGCAGTCAAGGAGAAGGACGACGGCGCCTCAAGTAGAGATGAGAACCCCTCTAATCAAACTACACAGGTGGTCCACTCTGGTGGGCGACTATTAGAAGCCTTCTGGGAAACAAAATAGGGCATTTATTCACCACCACTAATTCCAAAGGCAAACAATCAGTGCCTCAGTGATCGTTTATGTGTGTGAGAAGAAGTCAGGTGTGGGATAAAGAAGAACAGATCTAAAACATATGTATAATTAATGTCTAATGAGGCTCTTCAATTTTAGATTTTCACTGATATATTCTAAGATTTTTTTAAAGATGTCTACTAGTTTAAACCATTTTTCCACAAGAGTTCATTCTTGGCAATGTGAAGAGAAAAATCTGAAAAGAATTTAAGAAAGTTGCCGATTTGCTGCGGATCAGAAAAAAAACCTTTAAGTAATCAAAAAACATTAAGTGAAACTACTGTGTATGGGAGCGTATACTGACTGAGTGAGTTGTTACAGTGTACGAGTGCAGAAAACATGATGCAATAACATGTTCTCATTAGAGCCCCTGTGACGGCCCGCAACAGGAAACCAGGGGACGATCATACAACAAACCTTCCTAAGGCTTCGGGGGAAGTGACGCCTGCTGCCCTCTCATAACGCCCTCCACGACCCTCTCTCTCTCACCTCTCTCACCTCTCTCGCACACACACACACACACACACACACACACACACACACACACACACAC